ACGAGTCCGACTCTCTAACCATTAGGCCACGACTTCCCCAATGGTGTGGTGTTTGTACGGCGCAGGCACTGTCTACCTAGGCAGTATCTATGCACCATGTGTGATGGAGATGTTCATCAGCACCTACCTCTCCATAACAGAGACTCTATGGCCCATGGGTTCTTCAGACCATTGTGTCCAACCACTGCAATGAAGAGGCATTCCGAAACAATTGAGTTCTCTAAACAGGGTATGCTTTTCATGTGTCCCATCATTCTTTTCAGTCTGTGCATTTTAAATGGCTGTTCATTAGTGTAAAATTATAATTTAATATATTTAATAAATATATTCAATTATATTCCATTTTACTTGTTTATGAATCCTTCGCTAAGGAGTTTATTATCATTGTTTTGCTTTTGTATTTTTAGTCCGATATCTTCCGCTACTTTTGCCAGAGAAAATCTGTGCCTGTTCAGAAAGTTCATGCAGAGTGATCAGTGGCAAGCCCATTATTGTAATTAATTTTAATGGTAAGTTGCATTTTTTTCTCTTTATTAAAACAACACATAAATGTTAATATAAGAAAATTCAATGCTTGCATGTAATATCTGTGATTAGGAATTTTAAAGCTGTTGTGATGCATCACTTTTTATTATGGGACGGTACAATCTCACCCTCCCGTCACTGGAGTGCTCATGCTGTGGGAAAACATGGGCAGTGGGGCTCAGCGATCTCCTCAAGTCTGGGTACTGGCCAGCCTCTGTACATTTTGAGACCGTGTATGAGGCTGGCCTTTTTAGGTCTTTTCTGGACTTAAAACTTTTTGCTCCAGGTCTTTCATGTCAAGCGTTCCTTGGAATGCTTGACCAGCGAACAGAGTACAATGGCAGGGTAAATATTGTTATTCAGTGTATACTGTTAACATGCTGTTTGTTCCTTAAAGTGATTGATTGGTTTGGTTATTTCAACAGAGTGCTAAAATATGTGGAGACACATTTCAGAAAGCCTTTCTGGAGTGGACCTTTGCCCAGCATGAGGTTGAGAGGCTTTGTGGTGTCCAGCCATTTAAATGTCCCGCTTGCAGTCCGTCCATGCATGCCATCTCAGTGGATGGTAACAGGAAGCTTTACAGGTTCCATAATGCACTTGGGTATGTATTTTCTTTTATTTTTTTTTATTTTTTTTGTGTAAATTTTATTGTACTACTTCATTGTCTATATCATGTTTCTCTTTCTCAATAAAATTAAGGACAGAGAAAGGCTACTTCGATGGCACATTTATAATGAAGGATGAAGGTGTTTCCTCCTCTGTGGAAAATGTGCATGAAAAGACCAAGCATGTAATAACCCTTAACTTATTGTCAGATTGTTTATTTCAGTCCAGCTACCATTATTGAAATATGAATAATTATTTTAATGTAATGTCTTGTAGGCCACAGGTAAAAGGGTGTGTGGCTCCTCTCAATGGACAGCAGCCAAGGAGTCTGCAAAAAAGTCGACATCAAAGATTGATGAGGAAGGCCTTGAGATTGCTGTGTGCCAACATGGAGGACTTTTAAAAGGCCTAAATATGTTCAGAGGGGAAATATTTGCTTATCCCCTGTTCCTTCAAAACACCCTCTCAAAAGAAAATGTGTCATTCTTCTGCTCAGATGTTGCCTGCAAGTACTGGCCATACTTAAAGAGAGTGGTGGGACACTGTCCAGAGCTAAGGCCTTTATTAAATATGCGCCCACTATTATCAGTTATGCATGCCAAAGCACATGAGTGGAGCTGTGAGGTAAGATTCTTTCATTACAATAAATTATATTAATGATATTTTTGTGGCATGGACATGCACTTTTATTTCAACAGCCATTGTTTGTTTTGTTTTGGTTTTGGTTTTGTGTAGATAAAATGGTCTGGAAGAAACCAGGAGGGAGCTGGTCTTACAATTGGAGAAGAAGTGGAGCAAGTCAACTCCTTCTTGTCGAGAGCTGCAATTTGCACTAAATGCATGTCCAAAGCTGGTGAAAATATTATATAAACACTACTTTGTCTTATAATCTTCTCACTCTTCAAAATATATAGTGCCATTACCTGACTTTTTAAAAACTGAAAATGTGTGATGTCAGTCACATAGCGATAAATAACCTTTAAAGGGTTAGTTCACTCAAAAATGAATATTCTGTCATTAATTACTCACCCTCATGTTGTTCCAAAAGTGTGAGACTTTCGTTCATCTTCGGAACACAAATTAAGATATTTTTGATGCCAGAATGCTGTCAGATTTCCTTCCATAAACTGCCTTTGTAACGGAAACATTGACGCTTAAAAAACTTCATAAAGAGATCAGAAAAGTAATCCATATGATCGGAAGCTTAAACATGCTGCGTATGAGGTCCATTCTGTTGTTATGCAGCACGTTTGAGCTTCTGGAAGAGGTTATCGCACGTTATTCAGGTTCAGTTGAGCTTCTGCTTATGTTCGCTGATCAATGTTTACATGTGAGTAAAAGCCTAAATTAAATCTTTTCATTATAACAAGTGATCGATTCTCTTCAGAAAATTTGGACTAAACCACTAAATTCATATGGATTCGTTTTCCAATCTTTTTATGAAGTTTTTGAAGCGTCAAAGTGGTAGTTCCAAAGGCAGTCTATGGAAGGAAATCTGACAGCGTTCTGTCATCAAAAACATCTTTCTTTGTGTTCTGAATATTAATAAAAAGTCTTACGGGTGTGGAACGACATAAGGGTGAGTAATTAATGACAGAAATTTCATTAATTGGGGTGAACTAACCCTTTAACATAATTTGAGCAATTATGTCTATTGGATATATTGTTGAACTATAAACCTTTATTATCAAATTAATTTATAGTGTTTTGGGTAACACTTTACAATAAGGTTCATTAGTTAAACATTAGTTAATGTATTAACTAACATGAACTAACCATGAGCAATACATTTGTTACTGTATTTACTAATCTTCGTTAACATTAATTAATGAAAATACAGTTGCTCATTGTTTGTTTGTTAGTTCACAGTGCTTTAACTAATGTTAACAAGATTTTAATAATGTATTAATGTTTAAATTAACATTAACAAAGATTAATAAATGTTGTATAAGTGCAGTTCATTATTAGTTCATGTTAACTAAATGTAGTTAACTAATGTTAACTAATGAACCTTATTGTAAAGTGTTACTGTGTTTTGATATGTATTTAGACAAAAAAGAAGAAACAACGAAATAAGAAAGTCAGGACTCAAACTTTAGTCTTGACTACTGATGAAGAACCTCCACCTGCTCAAGAAAGGGCTGCTGTGGATATAAGTCTGTCAGAGGAAGGAGAAAAAAACTGCATAAAAAGACATGAAACAAGAGAAGACTTAATGAGTGAGTCAGTGAATCATTCATTCAAACCGATTTTTAATAATAATAAATTCAAATAAATTTTTAATTAGACTGCAAGTAACATTTTGAGCCCATTTCAGAATAACTATATAAATTTATATATAATTGAGTATTATGTCTACAAATAGCCTGTTACGAGATTATTCTTCATTTTGATTGATGTGGCTGATGTTTTTTTCATGTGAAATTGCTAAAACTCTGAGAATGTGTGTGGTGTTGATTTATGTTCATTATAGTAACATGTGCTTGTTTTATAGGGAACCTATTATGCCTCTTTTACAAAAAAAATGTAAATGTAAAAAGGTTAATAATGTTAATGTAAATGTAAAATACGTGTGTATGTGACGTTTTAGCTCAAAATACTCCATGGATAATTTTTTATACCTTGTTGAAATTGCCAATTTTAGGGTAAGAGCCAAAACGCGCTGTTTTTGTGTTTGTCCCTTTAAATAATAATAATAATACATTTATTTTATATAGCACCTTTAAAAGTTGCTTTCTCAAGGCGCTTTCCAAGAAAGCTTACATAAAGGAAAACACAACAAAATAAGACAATATACTCTAAATTCAACAAGAAATAAATCACAAAACAATACAATAAAGAACTAATCAAATAAAAACATTCCTGAAAAATAATGTTTTAATAAAAGTTTTAAAAACAGCTAAAGAATTAGTGTCCCTAATGTCAATTGGGAGAGAATTCCACAGTTTTGGAGCATACGATGAAAAGGCCCTGTCCCCCCTGGCTGAATTCTGCAAGTATTGCAATTTGTCAAGAGAGGATTTGGACACTCCAACAAGGAGAGCATTGCAATAACCAATTTGTGAGAAAACAAAAGAATTAATACATTTTTCAGCAACAGAAAAGGGCAACATAGGCCGAATACGTGCAACATTCCTAAGATGAAAAAAGGAGGTATTTACCGTGTTCTGTACAAAAGGCTCGAATGACAGGGTGGCGTCAAAGATAATACCAAGATTTTTTTAGTTTACTGTGTAGCTCTAGGGCAACACCATCAACTGATAGATCTATAGAAGCAGCATTTCACAGTTGGTGGGCAGAGCCAAGAAGCACAACTTCAGTTTTAGAGCAAATGAGCTGGTGCTCCCGCCTCCCTTTTCAGAAGCGTGCTATCACAAACGTTATAAGTCCCACATATGATTATAAGCTTGACAAATTCATGCGGTCGACTTCACATTGCTTTCATATGCAATTTTTAACGACCACATTCCTATTTAAGATCATTCTAGTCATGGGCGTCGCTAGGCCATTTTTAGGGGGGCTATAGCAAATTTCATATGAAAACGGCGGCAGACTTCGATCGGCTCCTCCCCATCTTTCAGCGCGTTCTTTTTCAATCCGCAGACCAGTGTTGCCAAGAATTGGGCTACTTTAACACTGTCGCTGCGGGTTGTTATTCATGTCCGCTGGTTAAAGCGACCTCAATAACATGATATTTAGCCCCTGGAATGCGAATTTTACCGGAGGATCTCTGGCAAAAAGCGTGTATTTTACTCCTGGAACATGATTTTTAACAGGGGACCCCCCTCGAAACGCAATTGGGCTAGTTTTGAGTAGCGATTGGTGGGTTTTGTCGAGAAAACCTGGCAACCCTGTCGCAGACTGCAGCGGCGCAGAGCGAGAAACAGAGGACAGGCTGTGTGTTTATCGATAGATTGTTATAATATCTGCATCTGTGCAGTTCTTTGTCATAAATACAGTTTACAAAATATCATGGGGGAGCAATCTCTTCCCCATCTACGGTAACCTAAGTTTTCGCTGTGTTCACCCCTCATCACACCACAAGTTTCCTCCAGTGAAAATTAAGCACATATATATATATATATATATATATATTATACCCTCATACACCCTCCCCCCTAAAATGAAAATCCTGGAATCGCCCCTGCTTCTACCTTTGTGGTCAAAGCATTTGTATACATAAGCCTCACTATTGTTAGAAATGAAATTATTTATCTAATAGCAATTATTATTATTATTATTTACTTTTAAAAGCTTGCTTAATTTACTATTTGCGCTTAAAATTAGTCCTTGGTCCAGAAAAAAAAGAGCGGCATTAAAAAAAATCTGAGTGTTGGAAATATTGCTTGACTTACATGCTTGTGTTATAACAACATTTTAATGGTGGGTTTAAACCACCATTTACTTTTTCATGGAAAAGTGATTTGCTGTCCAAGAGTTTCCATGGGTAACCGGATGGATATTGTGGAGTTCAGTGGATTTCTCGTGCTGGCGGCACGTGAAGCCAGCATCAGTGAAAACAGACAGACAGTGGTAGCTTTAGCAACATTATTAGCCTTACAGAGTGCCAGGAAGGCAACTTGGAAAACAAACGCGTGATACTTACTACTTCTAGATGGCGTAACGAATTTCTGTAGAGTTGAGGGAGCATTTTCTTCGAATACAAAATGAGTCCACCTCGTCTTCGGCGGCTGAGATTTCGGGGGTAAATGGAGAGAGCTATGTGGTTTAATACATCCAGCAACAGAACACCTAAAACGCTTGGGAGACATTCTCGTCAGAGCAGCAATGGCGGACTGTGTACAACTCGCTGTGAACTCGCTCAGGGGTGTGTTTCCCAAAAGCATCGTTAGGTAACTATGGTGGCAAGTTCCATTGAACTCTATTGGTAATGACAGAACTTGCAATCAAAGTTGCTTTTGGGAAACGCAAACCAGGGTGGTTCTATGTTAAAACGGCAGTGTCTGTCAACATTTTTGGGCGGGGCCTGTGGCTAATGTGACATCACATTAGCACCAATGCTGAAAACAGGATGTTGGGAGACACTGCTTATGATTTATAGGGATTAAAAAAAAAGAAGTGGGTGGATTTTTATCATTATAGGGTGGTTGT